AGAAAATAATAATGATTTACGACAAGATATACTTGCAGCAGTTTCAGGCTTGGCTACTGTGGTGGTTAAGCTCGATGCAAGGCTTGAGGAAGTGGAAAACAAAGTTGATTCTTTTGATGATAAAATTCAAGATGTGGAAAGGAAGGTGGAGTCCTCACAAGAAGATATTTTGATGTTTCAGTACAGACAGATGGAGTATGCCCTGAGGATTAGAGGCCTCAAGGAAGATATGAATCAAGATTTGGTGGAGGTGGTCCTTACTGATTTGGCAGTGGCCTTGGATATGGATAAAGGAGAATTACATAGAGAAGTGGAAAAAATTTATAGACTTAACTCTTGGATTGCTAAGCAGAAGAATTTGCCTAGAGATGTGGTGATTTATTTTACAAAGAAGTCCCTGCGGAATGAGATTATACAAGCCTTTTACAACAAAAGATTTCAGATTGCTGCCCAAGATGTTATCATTCTAAAGGAAATCCCATCCAAAATTTTAAGAAGCAGGAAAGACTTTGCTTTTTTAACCAATGAGCTCAAAGCTAGATTGATGCCATTTAGATGGGAAATTCCGATGGGTATTGTTTTGAGCCATGCGGGGACACGCTACAGATTGAATACAGTTGACAAAGCTAGAGAGTTTTATACTTCGGTCCTGGGTGCAGGCTCAACTTCATCTGGTCAGAAATCTCCGAGCGGCAAGGAAGTCGAGCAGCAATCTGAGGCATTAGGTTTGGTTTCCGCTGGGATGATACAAGCTGAAAGGCAACGCCAGATGGAGGTTAAAGAGCAGAGGATGACTCGTGCAGCTTATAAGCGTAAAGAGAAGGAGCAACGTAAAAAAGAGCCTAAAGAGAATTCTTCTGGAAGTGCATCATCGCCGGTGGGAGGAGCAAGACCCAAGAGTTATGCAACACATGCAGCTCTTTCAGATCTTGATGGTGTCTTCTCCAGGCTGCGTGCCAAGGGAGATGGCAAAGTTTTTGACCTGGAATGTTAATGGATTGAATTCTCCTCAGAAACGGAAAAAAATCTTTTATTATTTGAAGCAACATACCAATGATGTTATTTGCTTACAGGAAACTCATATTTTACTTAAAGATCAGAAATATTTAGTCAATGCTCGTTTGGGATCTCATTTTATATCTTCTGCTCCTGGGAAGAAAGGGGGAGTTGTTATATATGTTAAACAAAACCTACCAGCTTGTCTGGTAGAATCAGATCCCCAGGGGAGATATGTGATGATTGAACTTGGTATATATGGTAAGAAAGTACTTATAGTGGGACTTTATGCTCCAAATCAACAACAGGAACAATTTTATAAGCAGTTACATCAAAAAATAACATTGCTTGACTATAGATCAGTGGTATTAATGGGTGATTGGAATGGTGTCTTAGATATACAAAGGGACAAGAAAGGTTCCTCTCCTTTTCTTAAACAAGCAAGGTTACCTAAAGCTTTTTTTGATATGAAGGAAGACTGGGAATTAAGGGATTATTGGCGGGAATGTAATCAAGAGGAGAGAGATTTCACTTTTTTTTCTGATAGACACCAATCTTTTTCAAGAATTGACTTTTTTTTGATTACTACGGATTTGTATAATAAAGTAAAGAATGTAAAGATTTTTCCTAGATCACTGACGGATCATAGCCCAGTTTGGATGGAGCTGACTCAAGAGAAAGAGGAAAGGAGATCCTGGAGAGTTAATGAAAATTTGTTCAGACAAGAGAAGAATGTTCAAAAGTTAAAGGAGTGTTTAAAGGACTATTTTGCTTTGAACATGTATAAGGGGACTTCAATGTCAATGGTATGGGATGCAGGTAAAGCATTTATGCGTGGTGTTTTGATAAAAATGAATAATTGTCATAAGCGGAAGCAGATGCAGAAACGTAGAGAACTTGAAGATGAAATTAAATTAAAAGAAAGGGCCTTGATTCTAAATCCTTCTGATGAAAGTATTAAAGAATCTGTAAAGTTACTAAGGTCACAATTTAATATGTTGATAGCAGATCAAGCGGCAACCAATTTATTGTTTATGAAACAAAATACATTTTGTAATGCTAATAAGCCTGGGAGATGGTTGACTCTAAAACAGTTATTATCATCCTTTTGGAGTGCCTTTTCTCATAAACTGGTTATTGTCTTAGGAAGTTCTTTTACAAGTGCTAATACACTTGGCATGATGGAAGAACCCTCTTCTATACTGGTTCCTACATCTGTGAAATGGCCTCTTGAGATAATCTATCTGGTTAATATCTTTTAAATTCTGAGAGCCATCTTTTCTGTGAGTTTCTACTTAGTGTTGATCATAACTCTAAATCTATAGTGGTTAATCTACAGATCTTAGATTGCTGATGGTGCATGAGGATACAAAAAAAATCCCTTCAGTCAAGTTTCCATGAAACTTTCTTCCTTAGTTCATGAAAACTAGACTGAAGGGATATTTTTCCTTTTGTATCTTCATGCATCATCAGCGATCTAAGATCCGTAGGTTGACCACTATAGATTTAGAGTTATGATCAACACCAAGTAGATAACTCGCAGAGAAGAGTTAATTTCTTATAATAGTAATAAATCTATCAAACCCCAAATAGAGTCCTAATTTACTTGAGTTCTTTAAACTCCTCCCTAGGCAAGACATTTTTTTTTTAAAAAAAGAAACATGAGGAATGGGGGACTGAGTTTGAAAACCTTTATTTTATCAATCCTGAATCACTCTTACCCTTAGTTTTAATATATAATCCTGAGTTGGACTGAAGTATAAATTTATTTCAAACATTACTTGAAACACTGTAGAATTGTAAAGGAAAAACTCTATTTTCCCATCGATTTTAACTACCATCGATTTTAACTACCTTTGCATCTTTTCTAACACTGCAGCTTAAGAAAAAGTAAGATTTTAAGCAATATTCTAATTTTCTAAAAGGGTATTTGTGTTATTTTAACTTTTTTATCATACTATTTAGAGTTTTCACTTGAATATTTCTGAAATAATTTTACATAATTGTGTGTTGATTGCTATATGATACATATACATGCTAGTAAATAAATAAATAATTCAAGAAGCTGGTGAATCAGCAGATTGGTAAAGTAAGGATCATTTCAGTTCAGAGTGTTATTACACATAAACTTCAAAGTTAGACACCTTTTGGACAAAGAACAAGGAGATAATCCATTTCTACAATATTGCAACAAAAGGAAGCCTAGGAAGGATTTTAAGTTAGAATGAGAATGAATCTATACAAAATGTACACAGCGGTTATGCATTATTCTTTTCCAGTTGATATTTCCTGATTCTATGGTAAAGTTCATGTATTTCAAAAAAAAAAATCTGTCTTGATAGTCAAAGAGGTAATCATTATTTGTTGAAGGAAAGAAAAGCCCCAAATACTTGTAATATTTTATAGCAGTTTCTCAACCTTATCAACGTTAAGATGTGTGGACTTCAAGTCCCAGAATTCTGGAAGTTAAAGTCTACATATCTTTTTCAAATTCAGCATCTTTAAGATGTTGGAAATTGAAGTCCATATATCTTAAAGGCCTAGTTTCAAAAACACTATTCTAATGCAATACAACCCAATCCATGAATTAGATTAGATCTTGCTTAGTTTTCAAACCCTTGAAGTTCTTGCTTAGTTTTCAAACCCTTGAAGTTCTAGGCCTTTTCCCCAACAACACTGATATAAAGCCCTATCTGTTGGGACTTTATTTATATTTTTATTTTTTCCTGTCTATAAAGCGGCCTATTGGTGAAGACACTTGCCTCGTGAGGTTGAGAATTCAATTCTAAGTAGCAACAGATGTTTCACTCTCAGGATGCAAAGAGAAAATATCTGTTGTGAACTCCACATAGGTGTCAGGAAGGGTATCCAGCCAGTAAATGTTGAGCTCCAGTCACCCCAACTTTACTCTGAATTAAGGGATTACAGGGTCATAAAAAGAATTTTTTCCTGCCTTTATTTTTACAAATAACTCAGGGGGGTGAACATATAGGAGGCATGTCAAACTGCCAGCCGATGGGCCAGATGCGTCACGCCGAAATCACGCCCACCCCATTGCCGGCAATGGGGAAAAAGTTGCGATAAATTAACACTTGAGTTTGACATGCCTGGCATATAATTTCTCATTTTCCTTCCTCCTCCACAAGAGCAATCCTGTGAGGTGGGTTGGGCTGGGAGTGACTGGTCTAAGATCACCCAGCTGGCTTTCATGGATAAAACAGAACTTAAATTCATAGACTCCTAGTTTCTAGGCTGGTACCTTAACCACAGACTAGACCAAATTGGAGAATTTGGGGAACCCCCCCCCCCAAATGAGATCTGTAGCACAACACATCTCCAAGACTCACTACCAAAGGAGAAAACAGCTTTAAAGACCAGCAAATACATTTCTACATACTGTGTATTTCTATGCATGGAATCTGTTATCATGCAATAAAAACCATGGGGAAAAAATTCCTGCTTTAGCACATGGACTGTTGACTTTTTGTGTACGCTTGACTCCTGGAATCTACATAGCTAAATCCATGCACATTTCCCTGTCATCTTCGGGAGTGGCTTGCCATCGCCTTCTTGCGAAGGCCGAGAAAGTATGACTTAGTGTGATGTGCATGACTAGGTAGTTAAAAAAAGGGGACCCCCTAATACTAATTTGATCGCTACACTCATCCTTTCACGCCTCCCGCCACACGATCCTTTTTAACACTCTAAAATTGGAGCAGATCGTCAGCGTGTGAGTGTCCCATGCCATTTCCCATTCTTAAAGTACTGACTAGTAGGAAAGGGGGCGATCTACAGATCTTCTGCTCTCCTACCCGCAGACGTTTTGCAGCATCCGGTTTCCCCACACCTCTAAAAACCACCCGATTTCGTTAGAAAACCGAGAGCAACGAACATTTCTCCGTACATTCGTGCGTTCTGCGCATGGGCACTCTCAGCGGCCAGCCCAGCTTTCCCGGAACCGGTTCGAAACCTTTCCAACTACGAAAGCGTGATTCCCATGCCCGGGCAAATTTGAGCATGCGCATACTTTTCCTCCTCCCCCACCCGTTTCTTGATTGAAAAGCTTCTAAGGGGCTGGGGCAATTGCTCATAGCTCCGCCTTTGTTGAGAGCGTGTCGGCCTGTGGCTGTAGGAGCCGGCTGTGAGTAGGAAGGGGTGCGCTTTGGCAACCGCAGATGAAGCGGCTGAGCGCTGGGGAGGAGCGGGCGTAAAACTATCTGAGGCAGGAGCGCTGCCAGGGCTGGTGATGGTGGGAATCTTGTCTGGGACTGGAAGATATCAAGGGAGGAGTTCGAGTACCGGGTGGGCCTTTGGATGGGAAGTGGCCATGGTTCCTCCAGTAATACAGAGGGTTGGTTGAGCAAGTTGGGGTGCGGTGGGGGAAGGAGGAAAGAGAAAATGGGGTGAGGCATTTATTTGCAAGCTTTCCTCGACTCCTGTGTTCACAGGAGGTCAAGTTCTTGTGGGTCCATTGTGATTTGTGTGCGTGTGTGAGATGAAAGAAAGGAGATGTGAGAACCTAGTTCAGGGGTAGGCAACCTTGGCTCTTTTATGACTCGTGGACTTCAACTCCCAGAATTCCTGAGCCAGCTGGCTCAGGAATTCTGGGAGTTGAGGTCCACGAGTCATAAAAGAGCCAAGGTTGCCTACCCCTGAACTAGTTGCAATATTATTGCCCAATCTACATACTGAACTTGGGGTTTGTAAGGACATTATTCTTTATATTCAGACACTGTTTTTTTAATCTGGGATATGTGTTTTTAAAGACAGAAATTTTTCTCATGGTGCCTGAACTTGGATATATTTACAAATAATTTGGCCAAGGACTTTTTACCAATCATTTTACAACAGTATATGGAGATTGGTTGTGTTAATCTATTGCAATAAAAAAAAAACAAAAGCATGACATCTTCAAAAACTAAATACATTTATTATACTGTAAATATCTGTACTTGGGTAGTCTTCTCAATACAAATTTCACTCCTGTTGATGAAATGACCACATATGTGAACATCACTTGGCCAAAATCTGGAAGTGGTTTGTTGTTGCCTCCTGGGTTTATTTTTTTTTTAACATTTCCCAATCTAGTCTACAAAGTGGATTTTCCCATCAGTTTACTAGCCAGGTTTGATCATGCTTATTTTTTTTTATTTTTTTTTTTGAGTTGAGGGCAGTCACAATCTGCTAGTGGTTGGTTGGACACTTTAGATGGGGGAGTATTTAGATGGGGATTCTGGGCACCTCACACTTTCATCTGTGTTACACTGATGCTGTATGAGCTATTTTAGTTTCCAGTTACTTTCTGGGTACAACTCAAGATACTGGTTATCACTAGTAAAGTTACTACCTGGTGAGGACCTGGTTCTTTGCAGGACTGCTTCTCTCTGAGAGAACCTATCTTTTTAACAAGGTTAGATAGGTGGATGCTTCAGGTCCCTTCCCTTCAACGTAGTCATCTGATGGGACCTTGGAGGCATGCCTTCTATGTAGCTGGCTCTGATGCTTTGGAATATGTTCCTACTGAGATCTGCACCTTCCATTCCCAATCTTGTTAGCCTTCCCGAAGGCTGTGGAAACTAGGATGTTCCCCAAAGCTCTGAGCTAGGATGGAGATGAGCCAATGAGTATGGAAGGAAGGATACAAAGCATTTTTATGTTTTAATGATTTTGTTGTAAGCCACCTATGTCATATATCTCATAAATACATTTTAATTGTATATTATACTACAGCTCTCAAGGGGCCATCCTTGAGCAAAATACGGTATTATTTCAATGGAATAATATTCCAATGGAAGTAAGCTGAATTGAATTTATTATGAAAGTAATTCCTATTTTTAGCTGATTAATCTGTAGGGTGAAAAGAAACCTGCTTCTCTAATATTTTTACTGTATTACAGATACCTGTTAAATCCAATTTATCATATTTTATATTTTCATAGAGTACTTTTCTACAAACATGAAGTACTCTTTGGGGAGTTTATTTACTTTGATGGTTGTGAGAAAGTGAATAGTAACAGGAAAGGAGTAAAATGAAAAAGATGCTTACAATGCAAAGATATATATATTACAACAAATGACAGTTTTGTGAATGGCTACTTTTATTGTCAATTATTATTTGCATCTTTTTCATTTTATTTCCTTTTGCTCTTTAATTATTCACTTCCCCACAAAATAAACTCTTCAAAGAGTACTTCATGTTTGTAGAAGAGTAAGCTTACTCTATGAAAATGTAAAATATGATAAATTGGATTTATCAGGTATCTATAACATGGTAAAAATATTAGAGAAGCAGTTTGGTAATAAATTAGCTTCTTGCAACACACATTTGTGTACATTCATGTATTTTGTGCTACAAGCCTATTAGTTATCTAAACAGAATACTAAAATGAATTGTTTTTGTTTCTTTTAATTTTAAAGGCACTGTGCTAGAGCATTCATTTCTGAGAAGGCCTTATTTTGGGGAGGCATTTTTATTAGCTATTAAAGATGGTATCTAAATAATATTAAAAGGATAATAAAGAATGAAGAAATTATAGATGAATGAACAAAGGATTTAAAAATTTCATGGAGGTTAGGACATCATTAAACATAAATAATTGCATATACTGCTTTAAAAGACTAAAAATAACTATTAAGCTCTAAGTTAATGAATATCAAGAATTGATATAACACAGTATAAATCATCTGGTAAAATTTTGTATTACCTATGTCTTCCAGTAATGGAATAAAATTATCTTCAATTTTCTTTATGGTATCTTGCAAATCTTGTGGTTTCCATCTAAGGAGATAGCATTCTGAGAATTTCAGCTATATTAAGAGTTCTCTAAAGGTTGGAATTAATTCTGATGTTTTCATTGTTTCCAGATGTCTACTTTGATGAGGCCCAATAATAGTTCGGACCTGAAGAGTTTCCCTAGTCCCATTACGGTAAAATGCAAAGAACATCCAGTTGCTTGTGTTAGAACTATTTAGGTTCACTTGGATGTTTTGATGTTTCCCTGTTTTATGTTATTTTTAAAAAAGTTATAGTTAAGTTTTTTGGGGGGGGAATCTTGTAAATATTCTTTCTTTCTATTCTTAGAGATGAATTCTCCAGAGACTACTACAACTGAACTAAAGTTCATGATACATAGAAATAGAAATCCTAATCAAAACTGTTTCACTCTCTTCAGAGAGTGAGGGAGACAGACAGACAGATTACACATGCACACAGGGAAAGAAGACTCTTAAGTTACATGTCTAGAAAGAGATCCCCTCCTGAGGACATTGTTTTATATTCCTGGACTACCACTACAGTGAATATTCCTTAAGTCTGGCCAACAAAATGTTGCACTTAATTTAAACATCAAGGGAGGAGGAAGACTTGTCATATTATCATATTATATTTTGTATACATTGTAAAAATAAATACTGTAAATCAGCATGCTTATATTCTCAAATTGTTCTTAATAGTCTATCTAGATTTGGGGTTGCTTTAGCCAGTAAAAATATAACCTTCAAGGTTAACCATGCTTTGGAAAACTGTTTTCAAATCTTTATTTCATTGTTTTTCTTTGAGCAGTGCACCCTCAGTCAAGCTTTGTATGTCTCATTTATCAGACAATTTGTTAGCCTTCCAGCTGCTTCATGTCTGGTTTTTAAGTGTGACCAGAACTGAACGTACTATTCCAGCAGAGATTTTTCCACTGCAAAATAAAGTGAGAGAAGCAATTTCTATGTCATGCTTGCCTAATGCCTAACTATCATAGTGTACCTTGGCTTTAAATGTGTTTGGACATCATGAAGTCTATAAACCTCTGGAAACTCAGTAATATATAAGAGAAGTTTTATCAACTGATGCCATCTTTTAGATGACACTGCACCTTACTTATGCCTTCAAAAAATTTCGTAACTGTGCAGAAATCCTCAAGCAGGTTTAATGAACTCATGATCATCTCATGATACAAATATTAAGATAGAATAACACAGATTATGCCTTGGCGATAGATAGCAGAGACCTAACTTTTTCTGTTCAACAGCATGTCTAAAATTATGTGTTGCTGATGAAAAAATGGTGGTTGTTTAAAAAGTAATTGAAAATGAGTAGGCTAAAATATTCTGGGGTTTTCAAGTAAAAAATGATAAAATCTTGGTTCACATCAGATTTAACTGGGGTTAAAAGAAGAAACTATGGATAATTGATGTGGCAATACCCCCGGAATAGTAGAATAGAATTGAAATTCACAAAATATCAAGATCTGAAAAGTAGGGTCGAAAGATTATGGCATAACTCCGCTGTGGTAGTCCCAACTGGGTATCTGAAGGATTTGATAGGTGGAAATAAATGCCAAATACAATCTAAACATTTGGCTGATTGTGCAATCAACTATAATAAACCACATAGATAGATTTTCTCCATGATATTCTGTTCTCAATCTAATCTTTAGGTCTTCCAACAATGTAATTTAGTCTATTCACATTATTGTTGGTCACCTTTTTGTCTTTCCTTCCACCATTCTCAGCATTGTAGACTTTTCCAGAGAGTTAGACCTTCACCTAATACAGGTAGTCCTTGACTTACAACTGTTTTTTAGTGACCATTTACAATGGGACTGAAAAATGGGACTTATGACCGTTTTTCACCGTTAACGACCTTTGCAGCATCCTCATTATTATGTGATCAAAATTCAGATACTTGGCAACTGGTTCATTTTTATGACCGTTGCAGTGTCCCAAGGTCATGTGATCATTTTTTGCAACCTTCTCACAAGCAAAGTCAATGGGGAAGCCAGATTCACTTAACAACCTGTTTACTAACTTACCAACTGCAGTGATTCACTTAATAGCCATGACAAGAAAGGTTGTAAATAGGGCAAAATTCACCAAATGCCTCACTTAACAATAGAAATTTTGGGCTCAATTGTAGCCATAAATCGAGGACTACCTGTATATCCATAGTATGATCATTTGAATCTGGCCATTTGTGCCAAGACTAGCTAAAAACTGGTTACTGAGATTTCACATTTTTGTACATATAAAAATATAAAATGTATATGCTGCCCAATACACCCAGTTGAATCTGGTGGCTTACAATTGTTAAGCCACATTCAGGAATAGAAGTCAATGCTACTATTACTTTGATTGAACAAAATTAAAGTAAAATGTACAAGACAGTACAATGAAGGCAAAGAAAGGATATCTGGAGGAGAACCAAAAAGAAGAAATGGCATCAGTCATCCTCATCAAAAGCCTGGGTGAGGAGCCAGGTTCTTTGGAATAGCAGTGGCTAGGGAGCCATTTGAATTTTGTGGGGATCTCTATTCCAGAGGAGAAGACACATTTCCAGAGTCCTGACATATAGCATTGTTTATTTGATGGAACCCAGAGCATGCCAAACCTGTTAGATCAAACTAACTGGGCAGATACCATGGGACACAGGTAGTTCCTCAGATGACCATGCCCTATATGCCATGTTGGGTTTTATAGGTGATGGACCAGCATCTTGAATCATGCTCGGAAGTTGAAGTCTTTGTTTTTATAGAATAGGTTATGCTATCTCAGTCATGTATAATATATGTTTTGACAATGTATTTGATAGATATTGAGTATATGTTTGATAGATATTGAGCGGTTCAAAGATCAAGTAATGTAGAAGTTAATTTAAAATATTGTGGCTCTCTTCTGGAATTTGTGAACTCTTGAAGTATGACTATTATAGTTTCAGATTGTTGCCACAAACATAGAATCATGGCATGACTAATATAAATTGTGTGGTTACTGAATATGGCTAACAACATTAGGAAGATATCTACCCTTTAGAAATGTATAACATGAGATAGAAAAGAAATGAACAGGGAGGGATCAGAAACTTTGCTGTGGGTCTACTTTACATGTGCATATACAGTAATTCTGCAACAACACAAGTCATAATGTTTTGTATAGATTAATAAAGAATAGATTGCCATCTGTTGTATCCCATCTTATAGGCCACAGTGAGAATTAATTGGGAGAACTAAATAGAGACTTTTTTGTTTATTTTCAGTCACAAAGTAATCCTTCATCAAGTTCATTTATGAATGAAACATGTTGCCAGGCTCCACCAGCCTTCTATTCAGTGAAACCCATCCAGCATAAATCAGGTATCTGCTTTGAATATTAAACCACTGAGCTGAGATATATTTCTGGGTGCATCTTGCCCTTAAAGTGTTCAATAGAGTGCTATTGGTATGTAGTCCTTGTTTCTGTCTGAGCTTGGTTGTTTGCTTTTAGATGTTTCATTATCCGATTGGGTACAACTTTGCACACTCAGTGCAAATGAGTGTGGGGTTTGCTCCCTATTTATAAAGTAGCTTGCTCTATCAGTGTTGGTAGATTTGGAAAACGTGGAAACTTACTATATAAAAGTCTTTTTGTTTCTGATGGAATGGATTGATATAATTATGCTTAAAAGTAGTTTACTCAGAGGCATAAACATAGTGAAGACACCGGAAGCAGTGGTTCTCTTTGCCACCCACACCTTGCCTAATATTTTGAAGAATACCAATTTCACAAAGTGTACAGTACTGCAAAAGTCTAGATAATCATTAGATGGCAGCAAAGGGAACCAAATGTTTTTTTTCTCCATTGTTACAAACTAGCGGTCAAGGTCTGCTAATTCAAGTCTTCATTTTGTATGGTTCTGGTTTGTTTGTTTTTTTAGTAAGCGGTCAAGGTCTGTTAATTCAAGTCTTCATTTTGTATGGTTCTGGTTTGTTTGTTTTTTTAGTAAGTATTAGCTAAATCAGTGGGACATATAATGCAGCAAATGATAGAGTAGCAAAAATGACTATGCTTGGTAAGATTGAGGAGGGCGTAAGACGAAGGGAAGAGACAATGGGCAAGAAAAATAAATGTTCATTGCCAGTGCAATATTGGAAGCATTATGGGTTGCTGGGAACAGGTCAGAGTTGTGGACAGTTGTCCATACAATTTCTAAGAGTCAGCCCCAATGCAATCCAGATGAGGCTCTACTAACACCCTTGAGTTTCCTTAGAAATTTTGTGAAGATGAATGCCAATTGCTCTTAGGCTCATTTAATATAATTTTAAAGCAAACCTACTACAAGATAAGTTAGAAGGGAAGGTGGTACAATAATTACATTGTAGTAAAACAATTGATTGCCATCTTACACATAAAAAAAATTGGCAAGGTCATTCTGGTTCATTCTAGCAGAAACCATTTAGGAAATTACAGGTCATACAAGGATATGTCTTTCATTTCTGATTGAAACCACAGAATAAATAGCAAAAGTAACACTTGTTGTCTGAGCACAACTTGGATATAGCAATGAGTTAAGCTTTTTTTCTGGTGTGAAAGAAAAGTGTTTAACCTTTGATGTGTCAGATGGGAAAAACTGATTGAAATAGTCTCTACACTTGCTGGCCCAGTATAGATACTGTAGAGAAGAAATATATTTCTTGGACCAAGATTGGTCAGAACTGAATAAAACAGTAATTTCCTGAGTGGGACAAACTATTAACTTGGTACGGGAAAGTTATTACACTTTTTAATTCACTTAATAAGCAAATAATTTTTTAACATTTGCTAAAAACTTCTTTCTTTTCTGCAAATAAACCTCAAAACACTAGTACACTTTTGCATTTCATTCAAGTTGAATTCAGTAACTTTAAAATGGAGACAGGCCTTCAGAATACAAAAATCCATTCAAATGAACATTCAGCAAAAATTACAGTTCACCTTGAGGGATGAAAGTCTCACACTATACCGTTAACTTAAAAAGTTCAGAATCAAGTGGCAACAAAAATCCCCAGACACTTTTCCTGCAATCCTTTTGGACTTTCATAAGATTTTTATTCACTATATAAAATACTATTTCTGCTGAATGGATTTTTGCATTCCAAATATCTTTTTTAGGTTCCTGCTGATTTTTCACACTATAATTCATGCAGTCTCTTTTATATAGCTCCATTGCCTGGAGTTGATAAAACTTGGTACAAAGCCAATTCTCTCCCCCCTCCCTCCATCCCCGGCATTATCTCTTAATTATTTTACATTGTCTGAAAAAGATGGTCCTGTTCGTGGCTTTAACAGTTGAAATGGTGAAAAATAATGGTGAAGAACTGTTCCAAATGGGTCTGCGATGTGCTATATGGGCACCCCATGTTTTGGGGATAGTTTTGTTACCACAGTTTAATGCTGCTACACTGCAGAAGTACATTGTTTCTTATTGTTATTTTGCTGTGCCGCTCTCTGCTTGGAAATAGTGTTACCTCCTCGTTAGTTGTTTACATTGGGAGAGAAAATAAATTCTAGATTAAAAAAGAGAACATTAGAAATGTAAGAGTATGAAATCATATTATTCTCTCACATATTTGCTGTAAAAAAAAAACACCAAGTGATTTGCTCTACTTTTTCTGCTGTGTAGAGATAATCAACAGCCAGCCTCTTCCCATATCAGACAATGGCAAAAGGAGAAAAAAAAAGAGAACAAGAGCTACAGATCATTTCCCTGGAAGGTTTGAAGGTTGGATTTATAACTGCTTGGATTTTGTTTGGGTGTAGTTTTGATCTTGTGTAGATTTGTTTACTTGTCATCAATCCTCTATGTCAGGGGTCTTCAAACTTGACCCTTTTATGACTTGTGGACTTCAACTCCCAGAATTCCTCAGCCAGGCATGCTGGCTGAGGAATTCTGGGAGTTGAAATCCACAAGTCATAAAAGGGCCAAGTTTGAAGACCCCTGCTCTATGGGTAGTCTTAGTTTAGAAATACTGTAAGAGTGTTGCACTTTGAATTGTAATGGAGACGTGTTTCTCAATCACAGGAACTTTTAAGATGCATGGATTTCAATTCCCAGAATTGAAAGCCAGTCAGCATGGCTTGCTAGGGAATTCAAGCTTACACATCTTAAAGTTGGAAACACTGGGTTAAAAGAACAACTTTTTACATTTTTCTACTTGTTGTGTATTGTCCTTGTTTTGCTTTGCTGTAGAACAGGGGTATCAAACTTGCAACGTCATGTGACATGTTGTGACGTTTTCCTTTGCTGGTAATGGGGTGGGTGCAGTTTTGCCATGACACATCTGGCCCTTGGGCCAGCAATTTGACACCCCTGCTGTAGAAGAACAAAATACAGGTGCTCCCTGTTTAACAACAACTCTATTTAGCAACCATATGAAATTATGAGTGTTGAAAAAATAAGTTGATGACCGGTTCTTGAACTTACCACTATTGCAGGTTATATTATCACCATTCAGGTGCTTTGCAACCAGCACACATTTATGACCATTGCAATATCCAGTGGTCACATGATTGTCATTTGTGAACTTCACATCCAGCTTTCAACAAGCAGAGTCAATGGAGAAGTTGACAATAAAAATGCAAATCATGTGTTATCTCAATGACCACGGGTGATTCCTTTAATGGTCCTGGCTAAATTGATGTTGTAAGTCCCTTATGGTCATGTGATGTTTCACTTAACAACCAGGTCACTTAGTGACAGAGTTGCTGGTCCCAATTGTGAGCATTAAGTGAGGATTAGGTATGGTTGAAATTCACATTGCATGATTTCATATTTCATTGATATTATTCCAAGATAATTGAAAAGAAAGAACCACTGGCAATTAAAATCTGCAAGATAAAATAGAGAGGATCCCAACCTTTCAGAAGTGATGTTTTCCACATGAAAAACTTTTCTCCCATGCTGTCCTTTTTAATTTCTTGTTTATTAGCAAATGTGTTTTTATTTTATTATCGGCACTTATTGAACTATCTACTGTTAATTCCTTCTGTATTTGAGAGTATTATTACTATTACTATTTGGCAGATTTGTACCAGCTCACTGCAGAGATGCTGGGTGAAGGCTCTTATGCCAAAGTCCAGGGAGCACTTAGCTTGCAGACTGGAAAGGAATATGCAGTTAAGGTGAGGAAAGCATCACAATTTTCCTTTTGATTAAAAGCATTATTGTTTAAAAATGTGATTTCCTCTGTGAAAGCTTCCTACAAGAAGCCAGTTATTAACTACACTAATAGCTAGCACAGAGATGGGAACTATGGCCCCTTTATGACTTGTGGACTTCAACTCCCAGAATTCCTGACCTAGCATTAGGAATTCTGGGAGTTGAAGTCCACAAGCTATAAAAGGGCCATAGTTCCCCACCTGATACTAGCTCTGATTTTTCTTCTTCAACGTATTAAAATTAAAAGACCATGTCAGTGGCAATGTTCAGCCTCATGCAAAATTTTCTGCTTTTGCAACAGGAATTTCCCTCACTTTACGTCCCAATGCTTCACGAAGGCTCCTGAAAGCTCCTCTGGAGGGCATAGGGTTGATTGGATCTGTAAAATGGTGCAAGAAGTGATTTTTGATGTGTCAATAAAGCCCAGTCTTGGCAGGCAGACAGAATTGGATATAATGCAATAATCATTCTGCAATAATTTTTTTCATAAAAAAAAACCCTTTCCATTTTTGCAACAGATAATTGAAAAAAATGCTGGACATAGTCGGAGTCGGGTATTTCGAGAGGTAGAAACCTTGTACCAGTGTCAGGGCAATAAGTAAGTATTACAGTATAAATAAAACCTCTTATCTTAAAATTTCACAAAATAAGATTTGCAGCAGTTGTTTATTCTTGGTATATGCGTAGAAAGCAGAGCTGGGCAAATTATGTTGATAAAGCACAAAAGGTAGACTTGAAATAGCTGCCTCTACCAAAATTGTTCAATTCCTTTTGACTTCTATTAGTTATTTAATAATGCATGCTGGGAATGAGAGAGAGTACAAAACAAGTGAATCATTTTTCATATTTATTAAAGATATTGATTAATTTTAGAAACATATTCATACTGCTGATTTTAGCATTAGACCAATGTTATTATTTTTTTGTTTATCTGGAAACATAATATTTCAAATAACACTTTTGGGCATACTTGTGCCTTTTTGATGTATTAAGAAAAGAAGACTTAGCATGATCATCTGTGTCTTGATTTTAAGGAACATTTTGGAATTAATAGAGTTTTTTGAAGATAATGTAAGGTATTACCTTGTGTTTGAAAAACTGCGAGGAGGTAAGTATGTATTCCCCTTTGTCTCTGTCCCCCCCCCAACTTTGCGATAACGTTGATCCTGCATTAGTTTAATAATTCAAACTTTTCACATAAATATGATAGTTTTATCTTATATTACATAACGCTTGGATTTTCATTCCTAGCCTACTTTAAAGATTATTATTATACTCATGTGTGAAGCTGAAATATTATCCAGATAATATTGGGGTGGTTTTTAAAAAACAAATTGAAGTCGCTCAGAAGAATTACCTTTTTAGTAAAAGGCAGAAGACTTGTGGTTTTTAGTTTGGAGAACTGGTCACAGATTTAAAAAATATAAAGTTAGGAAACAGATTATGTGTCCTTCTTGGAGTGACAAAGTATCATATATAATATCATGGTAAAAAAAATCTGTATATCTCTACATGTTATTAAAAATTAGTCTTTGATGAGGGGGGAGTTCAGAAAATGTGAACACTCTTGATTAAACTTTTCATTCCCGATTAAAATAGTTAATCTTGTATAAACAACTTTGGAGTAAATGTCACACTTGTTTCTGAAGAAAACAAACAAGTCTGCATGGTTTCTAACCTGTTGAGCTGTGATGTGGGGGCTCTAAAATTAATTTCTCTTCAGTAATTACCTTTGCTGCCATTTTTTTTTGTTGAGATAGGACCCTGGGCAATTTAGTTGTCCCTAATATGTCTATACTTATTATAGAGTTTGATGTCTTCAGATGTTTTGCCTAAATGTATTACTGCCTTTTTTTTTTTTTTAAAGCATCTGCCTGCCCTCTTTCCTCTATAGGCTCTATCCTGACTCATATACAGAAGCAAAAGCACTTTAATGAGAGGGAGGCCAGCCAGGTGGTGAGAGACATTGCCTGCGCTTTGAATTTCTTGCACACAAAAGGTAAAAACATAGACGTTCCCATTGCCAAGCTTGTCAGCCATCAGCTAGACAAGGTTTGCTTGTATACATAAAAGATCAACATGAAATTAAGTGTACTTCTGTGTTTAACCATTCTGGATGCCTTTTTCTAGCATAAATAGCATAAGGGTTTTGACACTGTGGTTGCTGAGGTACAGTGAATGAACATAGTCCCTATTGAGCTATTGCGCAGGCACGATGATTCAGTATAAATGACACTTATAGGGGATTTGGAGAAGATGAATAATACTCATATTACTTTGTTCTTAAAGTTGGCCCACATGCCTTGTAAGCAGATATGTTGGAGAAAGCTGGGCAACAGATCTGAGTTATGAAGCGGCGTGGATGATTTTTTTTTTATTTTAAAACAAATACAGAATTGTGTGTGCAACCCAATCTGGTTACCATAAGGTTGTAAAGATTTTTAAGTTTCCAGTTTCCAATCAATTATTGAGAATGGTACAGTAGTGCCATGCTACTCATTAATAATAACAATTTAAAGTCAATATAACGAGGATAAGTAAAAGCAATAAGGATGATTGGGGAATAGAAATTAAGTCTAATAAAGAAAGAAAATGAAATGAGAATTGCGAAGAAAAGATTATGGTAGAGTTTTGCAAATAGCTAAGACTGTCATTCAGAAAGTCAACACCTTCGCCAGGATATGGAACAATGGATTCAAGGTTTTGGAAGGCATAAATACAGCTGAATATTAGAAACAAACTTCATAAAAATAGGAGCGATTTGAAACTTGATCTGGTTATGAAGGGAAGTTGTGGTTCTCCTCCGCTAGATGTATTTAAGTGCAAGCTAGACAGCTATCGGTTGGGGAGTCATTAATTGTATAATGTATAAATAATGACACAGATCTAAGTAATGTAAGCTTTGCTGACCATGTTACCTTAACAGAGAAACTTAATGGTACAGGTGATAAATTCAAAATTTTAAAAAAAGTTTTTAAATCCACAGATTCTTTCTATGTAATCTGTGGTCAATAAATAAAAAACCCTGTACAATTAAATCTGAAGTGAGTAAAAGGTTCTACCTCCCTACACATCTATAATATCTGCATGAAGAGGACAGTGCAGTTGCGGGAACACTGAAAATACAATGTTATTAAAAAATATTTTGAAGCCAGCCGGCCCTTCCATTCTTACAGCTTTTTCTTACCAATACAAAAAATAAACACCAGTGGCCGAAGCCTATGTAGTTCATCCACAGTCATCTTATATGAGATTCTTTGTCTCTAAATGAATCAGTGTGCCCGAGTTCGCTTCACTAACATAGGCTGCTATTTCTGTGCAGAAATGTTAATAGTTGCACAATATAATGCAATCACCCCATTGCCTTCTGGTTAGAAGCAGGGCACTGTTTTGTTTCCCAGTTGAACAAATGCTTTGGTCAACATTCTGAAAAAAGAACACTGTCCTTTTGAAGATCTACACATCCTTATTCATTTTCAGTTCCCTTGGAAACTTAGATTCATAGGTTTTCTTCTCACAGATGTGACTACTCAATGTGTGGGTGGAAATGCAAGGCAAGCACTGACTTTAGAAGTTATGTCATCGCTCCTCAGGACTCTTTAGAATTCTGGTTTAGCTGTGAAGGAGCCAGTGATTGCAGGTATCCATGTATTGACTAACATGAAGAGTTTATAAAGGGGACGTATTTTGTTCTTTAAAAAGGGTACCAGTATTACAAGTATACATACATCTCTTATCAAGAGCTATAAAAAATAATCCATTAGCCAGGACCTTTCATTTTGTATGTTAGAAATGCTTCTTAAATGCCTGGATTGTACTATGTAATTTGTGGGAGTTCCAGATTCATGTGAAGAGCTAAAGCGTCCCGCTGAACTCTTTTTTAATATTATTTTTAATGCAATTATTCTAATGCCTATTATTTCTCCTGTACAATTATTTGGAAAATATCCAGGAATATTTCACAAAGTTTGAATGTAACTTTAAGATATGATTTAAGTGCAATGGAATTAGTAGCTGCTGCAAACACCAAAAAGCAAATATTTTCTCTATTTTTGGCATTGTTGTTTTGGGCATGACTCATTGTCTTTCTGTGTTACTTCTTAGGTATCGCACATCGAGATCTGAAGCCTGAAAATATACTCTGTGAATCTCCCAATAAGGTGCACCAGTGCTTTGTAATTCTACCTATTTACTTTTCATTAGGCTTGATTTATTTCCTTGGTGATTTGATTTATATGTGTTTTTCCTTCTTCCTCCATTTCAGGTATCACCTGTAAAAATTTGTGACTTTGATCTTGGAAGTGGGGTGAAACTCAATAGTGCATGCACTCCAATCTCCACTCCTGAACTGACTACTCCAGTACGTAGGCTCCTGTATTTTGACGTGAGAACATAGGGCAACAATTCAATATGTTGTGCTGCAGAGTTTAGTTGCAACCAAAATGCAACCTAGCTGGATTTTAGTTGAATTGCAAAGCATGTCAATATTGCATACCAAGCATGTCAATATTGCGTATTCTAGAGCAGTGGTTCTCAACCTTTTTAATGCCGCGACCCCCAACCGGTCGTAAGTCAAGGACTACCCAACCAGTCGTAAGTCGAGGACTTTTCCTGCCCGGGAGCGCCACACATGCGTGGTGTCGCCCCCTGCGCCGGCTGAGGCATAGCTGGCAAGGGGCAGCGATGGCACAGGGCGACACCGACTGGGCCACCAGCTGGCCCAGCCCAAGGGAGGTAAGGCACCCACCGGGCACCATGCGGGAGTAGCACAGCTAAGGAAAAGGGGGAAAAAATGGCAGACTGCGTTGTTTGGCAACCCCTGTGAAATGGTCGTTCGATCCCAAATGGGGTCGCGACCCACAGGTTGAGAACCACTGTTCTAGAGTCTCTAGACAATATCTTGCAATTTTTTGTTTGGGATTATAGATGATTTTCAGAGTAAAATGCAGGTTTGCAAATAACCCTAATAAAAAAGTATAAGCTACATTTCTCAAGGTTGAAAATTATAAGAAAATAGGTCCCAATAAGATCATGGAAATTTTGACATTAGTCTTCATGTGGGTATTGTTCGGCTTCATACATAAATTTTTTAGAAATAGTTTTTTTATGCTTTCTTGCCATAGCAGTACTGTCAAGCAGGTAGATTAAATAGTCTTAGTATAATAAGTTCTCAAAATTTTGCTGTGCTTTTAGAAAATATCGATTTAAAAAAGCAGACTGTATTTGTTTGTTCTGAAAGACATGATGGGCCCATCAAAGTGTCTTTATTTGTGCTAAATATTATATATATTCATTTGATAAGCAGATACTTGAGTGTAAAATATGGAATACTTGTAGATCTGATTGGATGATGGGCAGATTGAAGCTGAAATAAATAAAAGCTGGATAAGCATTCAGTTTTATGTACTTCAATGTCAAGAAAAAGTTGTTCCAAAATATTCCTTGAATGGATGCAAAGTTTGACAGACAACACAATTGTTATGGGCAATTCCATCCAGTAAGGGGCAGCATAAGAAAATGAGTGGAATCAGCCAGGAAGCAGGAAATGTAAAGACTGCTGAAAATGGTAGTATGCAAAAGCAGAATTACATATATATCAGGTCCCTGTGAGTGTACACAAGAGAGTGCAAATAAATAATAAAAATTATAAACGAACTGATTTATTTTCCTAGATCATATTCATCCTCTTGTAGCCAACAAGAATTGCATATTTAATGCCATATAATAGGACTGATTGACCAGTCCTTTTGTAATGTATTTCAGATATGTTTAACATTGAAACTATTCACGTGATTAATGACAGTTAACCTATTAACAGCCTCATATTAACCTGCCAAATTCCAAAGGCATGGCTTACATATGCTAAATAAAACAATTATCCAGGCTAGGTAAGGAAATTACTAGAAAATTAAGAAGAGAGAACATGATCAGTTATTTCAAAAACAAAATATAACATAATCAAGTATACTGGGTATCTCAGTCTCTGAATAATTCTTTATAAAATGCACATTGGAAGGATTCAGATTTTGCTTTTACTTGTTTTCTTTCTTGTTATTGTTCAGATCAGTATTTTTCAATCTCGGCACCTTTAAGATGTATGAACTTCAGCTTCTGGGATCTTAAAGCCATTGAGGTTGAGAAACACTGATTTAGATGGTTGCAATACCAGGAGAAGGAATCCTGGGCTTATAAGATCCCTGGAATGTATTTCACTGTATGTGTTTCTCCAAAACTCCTTCTAACTCATGACCAAACAAAGGTTCAGGAGAGATTAAATGTTGGAAATGATGAGTGAATATGAAACAGAACTAGAATAGGTCACTTCATATTGGACAAGACATTTCAAAGAGAATTGCAAGAGTTTTAAACTATGTATTTAAAAGAGTTTATTTGCATTGCTTGACCCAACCCTTCCCATCCCAGAACTTGACTTGCAGAGATTTTGGATGATAATGGGTATATTTGCATTTAATTAAAATCTGCAGGGTTAAATTGTGTCACCCAGCCAACTGTTTGTTACTACGCAAAAATCATTTTAAACACTTTATACCAAGACATCTACAAATTAACATTCTCAATTTCATTTTTGCTTCCTCATAATTCTTGTCGTTGCCCAGCAACTGTGCCATAGTTTATTGCCAGGACTGTGGGAGGCAGACCAGCAATCTTATGCTTATTTCCATAAAGTGTAAAAAAAAAAAAGTCCTGGCTTTAAAAACGTTTGTATTATATTACAAATATGAATTAGATTTATGCTACAGCATGCCTGGATCTGGGAATCTGTTATTTGCCAGGGTTAGATTGAATGAGTTGTATAGACTAAATTTCCAGAGATAACTGCTTTATATCTGTAAGAAAATAGATGGATAATAATCAGAGTAACTTGTATATAACTGATTAGATCAAGGGTGTCCAAGCTTGGAATCTTGGCTGGGAATTCTGGGGGTTGAAATCTACAGGTCTTAATGTTGCCAAGATTGGACATCTCTGGCTTAGATCATCCTCTCCTTCTTCCATCCTTCTGGACTTTTTCAGCATCTGCCAGTATCCGGCTACTAAACTGACACTGATTTAAAAACAGCAGGATTTCCTGCATTGGGTTTAATACTCTGCCAGCTTAGTGTAGAAAGAATAGTCATTCCAAATAGCTGTGAGATGTTACTAATCATATAATTTGGAATACAGGCAGTCTTTCAACTTAATGATCCACAACTGAACCCAAAATTTATGTTGCTGAGTTTTGCCCCATTTTATGACCTTTTTGTCATAATTGTTAAGTGAATCACTGCAGTCATTAAATTAGTAACACAGATGTTAAGTGTGTCGATGGCTTCTCCATTGATTTTGCTTGTCAGAAGGTCGCAAAAGAGGATCACGTGACCCCGGGACACTACAACCATCATAAATGTGAAACGGTTGCCAAGCATCTGAATTTTGATCATGTGACCATGGGGGTGCTGCAAGGTTGTAAAACGTAAAAACCGGTCAAGTCACTTTTTTCAATGCCGTGAACAGTCACTAAATGAACTGTTGTAAGTCGAGGACTTCCTATAGTGCATTGATTTCAACAATGTGTACTGCATGCAGGGTTTTGGGTGGATCCGCCTTTTCAAAAAGAGTTATATATTAACGGCACAGGTAGCCTCTCTCTCCCTTAATGACCCCAGTTGGGACCGGCAGCTCCATTTAAAAGCACTATTGTCACTAAGCAGAAAATCATATGATCACATCAGGCTTATGGAATCACTTCCTATCCAGTCATTAAATGAGTCATTGTGGTCATTAACTGAGATATTGTGTGACCACCACTTGCAGTATTACGTCCATTAATTCTTCTTGTTGGAAGTGGGTTGTGAAACGTGGGAAGGGCACTCGCACGACCGTGGGATGCTGTGACAGTAGTCAGTGCGTGGCATGGTTACAAAGCTGTTTATTTACACGGTTTGAACAGTCACTAAACGAGGCAGTCATTAAGCAAAGACTTCCTATATTGTGAATGCTTCCTTTCTGCAACTTTCTGAGATGGGTTCTGTCTCTTGCTAGTGTGGGTCTGCAGAGTACATGGCACCAGAGGTGGTGGAGGTCTTCACAGAAGAAGCCACATTCTATGACAAGCGATGCGATCTCTGGAGCCTAGGTGTGATTTTGTATATCATGCTAAGTGGCTACCCTCCATTTGTGGGTAATTGTGGTACAGACTGTGGCTGGGACAAGGGAGAAGTCTGCAAAGTTTGTCAGGTAATCCGTATATTTTTGACATGTAATATTGTAGCACAGAGGTGGGAAGCCGTGGCCTCTTTATGACTTACAGACTTCAACTCCCAGAATTCCTGGCTCAGGAATTCTGGGAGTTGAAGTCCACAAGTCATAAAAGGGCCATGGTTCCCCACCCCTGATGTAGCAGATTTGATTGAGCTTCTTTAAAACTATTTGGATATCTTCTGAGACATCTATGGACTTGAAGAATGAAGGCAATTAAAGCTATTTTCAAAACTGTTTCAGTTTGAATTTATAAACTCATAATGAATGTTTAGGTTTAGGTTTTATATTCAGATCATGTTCTCCATACTACATTTCCTAGGATTCCCAGTTTGGCTTCTGTTGCATGTAGAGGGGGAATAATATTTTTTTTAACTGTAACCCTTTCAAAAATATTTGTAAATATATTTAAAAACAATATTCTGAAAAACAATGAAATGCAGTTTTCCATAACACCGAAAGAATTTAAGTGCAAAGATATGGCAAAAATATTTCCAAAGTTTCATCTGCATAGTGGGAGGCAGTGGTGGGGACCTCTGAAGAGGACCAGAAAAAAATTGAAATTTTAATTCTGAACTCTCAGCCTCTGAGCAGAACCCAAATATACTTTTTTCCTATAGAGTAAGCTTTTTGAGAGTATCCAGGAAGGCAAGTATGAGTTTCCTGACAAGGATTGGTCCAGCATCTCCGGTGAAGCCAAAGATCTTATCTCAAAGCTCTTGGTTCGTGATGCCAAACTGAGGCTTGGCGCTGCCCAGGTTCTAGAACATTCCTGGGTACAAGGGGTAAGTGGTGCCCCTTATTTCTATATGCCATTTATGCATGTGAACCAAATCTTACAAAATAACATAATCGGAAAACAGCTGTCATCAAAACCATATCTATGGTGGGGGGGGAGATCTTGGCTAAAAATGTAAAAATAATGATGCTGTCTTATACCACACAAGTCCAGATCCCTAATGGCAAACTACAAACTATCTCCCAGTGCAGAGTCACTCAAGCTCTCTCATTCTAGCTGAGTAAAACAGATGGATCTACAATTGGTTTCCTATAGCTACAAATATTCTTTATTACTGAGTACTTAAAGTTTTCCTTTGAATAGCAAAGGGTTGTTTGGTACAAGAAAAATCAATTTCTATTAATATAGATGTATTTTTATTTTTCTTTAATGAACATTTCTTTGGACATTGTAATTGCCAATATCTAGTCAGTCAACATAATATCTCACTGTTAACATATGAAGAGTGTTCAAAGTAATGAACTGTGAAGGTTGATTAATAAAGATTTTCTCCAGGGTTGCTTCGCTTACACTGCAACTTTTTTTTTTTTTTTTGCTTTCAGCATGCTTCTGAAAGAGGATTGCCTACACCCCAAGTTCTTCAAAGGTAAGTTTTTCTGGAAGTTTGTCATAATGAATTGAAAAAGTGATTAGAACTGTTTCCAACCTTGATGACATTAAGACGTGTGGACTTCAGCTACCAGAATTCCCTATCCTGCCATCCTGCTTGGGGGAATTCTGAGAATTGAAATCCACAAGTCTTCAAGTTGCCAAGGTCCAGAATTGCTGCAATGGACCCATCTTCTAAACCAGGTGGAAAAGCACTGGCTTAGACCAGTGGTTCTCAACCTTTTTAATGCCGCGACCCCCAATCAGTCGTAAGTTGAGGACTACCCAACCGGTCGTAAGTCAAGGACTTTCCCTGCCCGGGAGCGCCGCGCATGCGTGGTGCTGCCCCCTGCGCCGGCCGAGGCATAGCTGGCAAGTGGTAGAGACGGCACAGGGCGACCACCGGCTGGGCCACCAGCTGGCCCAGCCCAAGGGAGGTAAGGCACCCGTTGGGCCCCACGCGCACCAGCAACCCTCCCTGCGCCCGCCGGCCTCCCACCTCCCACCCCTGGCCCTCTTTTACTTACATTTTTAGTAGTTGCTCAGCAGGGAGGGGTGGAAACTTCCAGACAGCTTGCCTTCGCTGCAGACAACTTGCAGCATGTTTGCAGAATGGGACTTTTGGCGGGCTCAGCAGGGCATAGACAGCCTGGACAATTCCTATTGGCTTTTGAAAGCCAATAGAATTAGACTCTATTCAAGAGAGTCTATTCTATTGGCTTTCAAAAGCCAATAGACTAAAAGGGAGTAGCACAGCTAAGGAAAAGGGTAAAAAAAATGGCGGACTGCGTTGTTTGGAACCCCCATGAAATGGTTGTTCGAGCCCAAATGGGGTCATGACCCACAGGTTGAGAACTGCTGGCTTAGAAGATGGATCCATTGCAACCAGAGAAATTTCGGGAGAAAGCAGAGGGCTGCATGAATTGGTAAAACTTTCCCAGAAAACACTGTTTCTTGTGTCTGAAGAGCTACTAATTGTTCCCATCACTTCTTGTTTGGAGATGAATCACAAAACTAACTTGGTTATAAGGAAGATAATGAAGAGACGTGTTTTTCTGATGGGTTTCACAATTAGATTGTTAGTTCCTCTGGTCTAAACTAACTTTCTTTTCTCAATTCTCAATTTTCCCGCAGGAACAGCAGCACAAAAGAGTTGACTCTTTTTGCTGCAGAAGCCATTGCTCTGAACCGCCAACTCTCCCAGCATGAAAATCAACTCAGTGAAGAACAGGAAAGTCTCACACAGGCCATATGCTCCATGAAGCTTTCTCCTCCCTCTAAATCCCGCCTGGCTAAGCGTAGAGCCATGGCTCAGGCTACCAAATCCACTGACTTCCAGCCAGCTCCTCAGGCAGCTCTTTAATATACGTTTTATGTTTGTTAATCCAAGGTTAGCTTTGGTTATGACTGTTGTAAGGCACTCGTCACTGATCAGTGTATTAGTGCCCTCTCTTTACAACAAAGAAACTTTAGAACCTTGGAGGAGAACGATGGAATGATGGAATTTTTTTTTTAAATGGATAAATGCTTTGAGTTCTGTGAAGTTCTTAGATGAAATTGCTGCTCTGTTGCAGTGTAACAAACCACTTAGGCAATATTTGCACACTGTCCTCCAAAACCAGAGGATACATCTCTGTTGCCAAGCCTTGTAACCAATAGAAGGCTGAATTTAAAGGGCATTGAGTGAGCTTTCAGTACTTTTACAACTCCTAGTCCCTACTTGCAGTCACAAAAAAATTGTAATAGGTTTCTTTTAGAAAAATTTCGTCCTGCCTTTTTTTTTTTTTTTTTAGCTTTCTTTGTCTAATTAGCAGTTTGAATTAAACTTCAAAAGACATGAATAGTAACTCATTATTGTTGGGTTACTTCTAATGTTGTTACCCTTTGTAATATTACGGGGACGTCTATTTAAGAATGAAGGTTATTTAATCTGGAGTTTCCTTCTTTCCTTTCTTCCTTTCATCAGAAAGGATACATTACATGAAAGTGCTGTGATAATATAAAGCATTTTTTTTAAAGAAACTGTCTACAATAAAAAAAAGTGGTGACAGATCTTTGAACTGAAGAGCTAGTAAAGAATGGTCTCCTTGCTATACTTTGGCAGAGAAAGAAGCATGAACCTCCCTTTTGCTATCTTTAAAACAAGGAATTAGTGCATTTAAAAAAATACCACCTTGATTTGTTCCCATACTGTTAAGCATGGAACTAAACAGCGGGATTTGGTGCCAGTCCATCATCCTTGGTCTTTTGAGTTATCATTTGAATCGTTATTCTGCATCTGCTATTGGAGACCATTGCAGTTAAAATAATTACAGCTTCTGTTCAACTTGAAAATAGAAGAAGTGGCTGAAACACAGGCACCCATGGGGGCCTTTCCCTTTTCTGGTCACCTTGAATGCTTGAGGAAAAGATCCGGAGGAGCACTTAATTGATAACTGTGAAATATTTAAGTATGTGCCATTTTGATCAATTTTCTTATCTCTGTAGCCAAGCAGCTAGATCAGTGTTTCCCAAACTTGACAATTTTAAGGCATAAGGACTTCAACTCCCAGAATTCCACAGCCAGCAACGCTGGCTGTGGAATTCTGGGAGTTGAAGTCCACATGCCTTAAAATTGTCAAGTTTGGGAAACACTGAGCTAGATCAAGGGTCTTCAAACTTGGCAACTTTAAGACTTGGGGACTTCAACTCCCAGAATTCCTCAGTCAGCCCTCACTGGCTGAGGAATTCTGGGAGTTGAAGTCCCCAAGTCTTAAAGTTGCCAAGTTTGAAGACCCCTGAGGTAGATCCATAGAGCTTGGTAAATCAGCATAGACTTGGAGTAGCTTTTGTTGTTGATACATATATTCCACAGTCTATCTTATATAAGGAAATAAAGGTGAAAGTGGAGAAAGGGATTTTTATAGCCAGATAAATATTTTTCCATTATCAGTTGCAAATAATTGCTCATCCATTAATGTTAGGCCTCTCATACACATTCAGAGGGAGAGAGAAATGCACAAACACATACATATACAGTAGACACCAATTAAACAGTCTTATATCTTGAACTTTGGAGGACCTAGTTCATGTAATGTTGCAGTACAACTTAGGGCCACAAATTTAGGTTTTTATTTTAAACATTAGCGTACTATTGTGGTTAAGTTCTCATGTGATCACCCATGATTACAATAGTCATTTTAAACTTATATTTAGGAACTGAACATCTTACAAATCCTTGGAAAGCTATTAATATCATGGAAATTCATTAAAAAAGCAAAATTGGGTAATTTAGGTCAGTGCATTATATAAAGCAGGAATTATCTAATATTTGAAGATCAGTATTAATACCGAAGGAGTAGGAATACAAATCCAACAACTTTAGAAGGATACTGAGATTTTCCAAAATTTGCCTGTCAAATAACTTCACATTCTGCCTTTAAATATATTTTCTATATTTTATACACTTTTAAATTAGTGAGTAGTGATGATAAAAACATGTAGAATGGGTGCTGCACTTAAAGTTTTTATATATTGTACATTTAATAATGTTGGTTTTTAAGTACTGTTAAATTACTGTTACACTTGTAATATACTCCATGGTTAACTGTGAAAGCATTGGATAAACTCAGGAAATAATATTTCCATATGACGCATCATTGCAGTGTAATGAAAATTAAATTTGTCTAATTTCTAAACTAGTTTGCTTCCTTATTGATCTGCATAGTAAAAGAATCACCCTCTTTCACAATCTGGAATTCAAAAATTGTGTTATGTAATGGACACTGACCTTCTTTTGTACAGCACTCTTCCTCATGTCAGAGAAAAGCTTTCCACAATTCTGGCTAATGATTTATGCCAGAGTTGTTTCTAATACTAAGATCGAAAGATCTTTGTGAGTGTGTGTGAGGGTTTGTGTTGTGTGTGTGTGTGCGTCTGTGTGAGAGAGAATGAGAGAGACTCAGCTAAGGTTTTTTGGGGGGGATAGTGCTAATTCTATATTTATTGTATGGCACATTCACATCACATTTCGATAAAAACACAAGGGATAAAATTAAATATGTAAAACCTAAAATATTATAAATGTCTGGATATAATTTTTAAATTCTATATCAAAGTATGCCATTTTGGAAAAAGAAACACAAATAGAACAAGTGGAGCGAAATATAGTTAGTTGACCCTTAATGTTTCTCTAATAGTTTTCATTGTCTCTCAAGAGGTTTTCATCCAGCTTATTTGGGTTTCTTCTCAGAACTGGGTTGGGACAACTTGCCTATACACTGAAGTGTTTCTGCCCTGATTTAAATATTACAGGTAGTCAACACCACAACTGACCCCAAAATTTCTGTTGGAAAGCAAAACATTGGTTAAGTGAATTTTGTCCCATTTTATACCTTTCTTGCCACAGTTGTTAAGAGAATCACTGCAGTTGTAAAGTTAGTAATAAGGTTGTTAAGTGAGTCTGACTCTCCCATTGACTTTGCTTGTCAGAAGGTCACAAAAGGTGATCACATGATCCTAGAAGACTGCAATTGTCATAAATATGAGTCAGTTGCCAAGAGTCTGAATTTTGATCACATAACTGAATACTGCAATAGTCATAAGTGTGGAAAATGTCATAAGTCACATTTTTCAGTCCTATTGTAACTTCAGATAGTAAATAAACTGTTGTATGTTGAGAACTACCTGTATAGAACAATTTAGATGTTATAGAGTTGGAAAGATTATAAAATAATATCTAGTCCAAACTTCTGTTCAATCCTGGATCCTAGACAGTGATTTTGGGATATGTGGACTTTTACTCACAGAATTCCCAACTAGCAGCTCAGGTTTGCATCTAGCCTGAATCTAATTCCTTGAAACTTTAATCTTTTGAAGCATTAAAGAATAAGTCTATTACCCCTTCTATCTATCAGTCCTTCAAATATTTAATTGGCTATAGTCATATCTCAGATCTCTTGTATCTTAAACATATCTAGACACTTGAATTGTTCTTGATGCTGTTTGGTTTCGAAATCCCTCAATATCTTGGTAGTCTCTAGTTGTGAGACTAGATACAGTTTTTGAAGTGGGTTCTGAAGGGTGGAGCAGAGTAGAACAGTTCCTTCCCATAATCTGGGTTTTATACTTTTGTAAGTATTCAATGAGTTGTGCCTTTTTTAGCAAGTGCATCATGTTATTGACTCGGGTTTAACTTCTGATCAATAAGTACACACAAATCCTTTTCCAAACCCAGCACTTCTCCTTCCTAAATGTATACCTTCCATTTTTCCTATTCAGATTCAGAAATTCACATTTCTCCTGATTATCTCTTTTCAAAATCGGGGGACAGTGATAAATCACGGTGGCAATTGGTGAAAACAAGATGGCCCCTAGCATTTATAACACTTGAAAGAAACACGGTTCACTTTTAAAATATAGGTAATCCTTGTTTAGTGAATGGCTTGGAGAGCAACCTTTCAGTTACAGTGGTGATGAAAAAGTAACTTGGCAACCAGCATTTATGACTCACAGTATCTGTCTCAGCTATATGTTCACCATTACAGTCACTCAATCAGTACAATATTACATAGTCCTATGCCTGACCATTTGCCCCCTTCCCAATTGCCTAAATTGAGCTATCTTGAACTGCTTTTCTCCAGAGCACAGCATCTCCCTAAAAAAAATTCTATCTACAAGTTAATAAGTTCAGGTATGTGATCTTAATTACTTGATTAGAATTTGCCAGCTGCCAGAAACTGACAAGATCGTAATCAGTTTCACATTAAAGGCTTTTCTTTGCCTCCTAAGGTATTAGTGGCTTGAGGCAAACAGCTGGAGCTAGCATATTCCTTACTATGTGTACTTCCCAGTGTGCTCCTGAGTACTTCCTAGTAACCCCTTCCTCTCCAATGAATGTAAATACAAACATTAATTCCCATCTTGCTAATTTTCCCAGTGCTGGGCTGAGAATTCCAAAGAATGGGGAGTGGGGTAAAAGTTCTGTAAGATTTGCCCTTTTACCTGGTTTCCCTTTGACTTGAGTGCTGGAAAACCTTCCCTGCTGTTTGGGCTCACCTGGATTTTTGGGGTCATATCTGACAATGTAAAGTGAAGATAAACTGAAGTAAAATTGTATATCCGGTTGTGGTCACATAGTTTTTCACTTAGTAACAGCCTTGCTTAATGACCAGGTTGCTGGACCCAACTGCAGTTGCTAAACAAGGACCACATGTACATATGCTGAGCTAATTAACAAGTTTACAGATATATAACAATAGTACTAATATACTAATATTAATAATACTAATATACTTCAAAGCTAATAATTGGTTAGCAACCCCAAATGAACATTTCTTGGTGTCTTGATAAATTCCAAACACTGAATATTTGAGAATACATACAGCTTTAGATAATAATGCTTCTATATTAGTATATTACTAGCCATATGAACTAATGTTCTAAATCCTGAGCTGTACCTCCATCAGCAAGATAAATATAACTATTAGATATTATCTAACATGCCCAATAGATGTGAAATGCTTTTTTTTTGCTACACTAATCTTTTAAATCAATTTTATATAGTTTCAAGTGACCTACCACTGATTTACCAAGACAAGACATTTTGTTCATTATTACAGAAATCTCATAAATAATATCAATTTTATCAACTTATTTCAATTTCAAATAGCATTACAGGGTGGGAAGCCACAGTTAATGCCTCCAAAATTACTAAGTATTGTAGAATTTTGGAAGCAGCAATAGTATCTGGGGGAAAAAAAAGCAGAATGATAGAAGTTTAAACTCAGTAAACTGCCAGTAAGCCCTCTGAGGCAAATAAAACTTTTTTATTCCATAAAAGTTTAGAACTAGAATGTTTTGAAATGCACTGTTCAAAATAATAATGTTAAGAATGATCTAGCTGATCCCAAACCAGGCTTAGATGTTTTTAAATTTGGGTTATCCCTTAATACTGTAGGTAAATAAATCAAGACCATATCTGCAAACTATTATTTTTTATCTACAGGTAGTATATAAAAGTCCTCAATTTACAACAGTTTACTTAGAGACCATTCAAAGTTATAACAGCACTGA